TCAATTTATGTGGGCATGTGTGAGTAAATTAAAGCAATACGCCCCGTGAAGCCATGCTTCAATTTATGTGGGCATGTGTGAGTAAATTAAAGCAATACGCCCCGTGAAGCCATGCTTCAATTTATGTGGGCATGTGTGAGTAAATTAAAGCAATACGCCCCGTGAAGCCATGCTTCAATTTATGTGGGCATGTGTGAGTAAATTAAAGCAATACGCCCCGTGAAGCCATGCTTCAATTTATGTGGGCATGTGTGAGTAAATTAAAGCAATACGCCCCGTGAAGCCATGCTTCAATTTATGTGGGCATGTGTGAGTAAATTAAAGCAATAAGCCCCGTGAAGCCATGCTTCAATTTATGTGGGCATGTGTGAGTAAATTAAAGCAATACGCCCCGTGAAGCCATGCTTCAATTTATGTGGGCATGTGTGAGTAAATTAAAGCAATAAGCCCCGTGAAGCCATGCTTCAATTTATGTGGGCATGTGTGAGTAAATTAAAGCAATACGCCCCGTGAAGCCATGCTTCAATTTATGTGGGCATGTGTGAGTAAATTAAAGCAATACGCCCCGTGAAGCCATGCTTCAATTTATGTGGGCATGTGTGAGTAAATTAAAGCAATAAGCCCTGTGAAGCCGTGGTTTACAGTGAATTTATAACAGCTAAGGGGGTTTTAGGCACTAACAACGCACCTTAGCTGTTATAAATTCACTGTAAACCACGGCTTCACGGGGGTTATTGCTTTTATAAAACGGTTATTCCATATACGTTTCACAAAACAAAACAGCAAATAAAGTGTAATGATAATAAAAACAGTATTCTTCAGCCAATCAATGTAGTTCCTCAGAAACGGTTGTGGTTCCAACAAAGTGGTTGCCGAGCAACACACAGACGTAAACAAAGGTGTGTGTTTGTAGAGTAATTTACAACAGCTTCGAACGCAGCTCATCCAATCAGAATCAAGGACCGGAACTCTTGGCGTTTTATAATATGTTATTTAGTGCACAAGTCATTTTTGGCAAAAAAAATAAAATATATTATCATTACAGTGATACAAAGTTGTGGCCTAAGAGTGAGTGAACGAATTAATAAGTTGTAGGAACAATCTAAAACAAGGGAACAAATTAATAAAACTTAGCCCAAATTAAGTCATTTGTGGCCACAATATCTGTTTTGTTTTTTTCTCATGTGAGCAGAAAATAAATTTCCTCACTTTGTCTTCATGAAGTCTCTAATACAAAAAATGTGAAAATATTTTTATTTTAATGTGATTTTACCAGAAACTGCTATTGTTTTAAAATAATGAAGGTATCCACCTTATTTTTCCCGTAAGAGCGGGCCATTTGTAAATTTAATGTGCGAGGCTTCTGATGTCATTCGCTTCCAGCTATTTTTAGCTGTACAAAACAGCTCATTTTGCTGCGTGATATTGCAAACTAGTGTGTCTTACCATGCTATTTTAATGTATTATCTTAATTATGAACACACTGGTTTGTAGTGCAAACAGTTTTACCATTTACTGCACTTTGATATTCTTCTCATTATACAGCGGCTGATGAACCTGAAGTCTCGCACATTCACAGAAAGCCGCTTACTTCCACGTTGAAGAATAAGGTGGATATAGAAAGTTTATGATTTATGATGTGCAGGATCATGCACATTAGGACCATAAAACTGTACCTTGCTTAAACCGATGTTGTGGTACTTCTTCTCCATAATTTTCTTTACTGGTTCCTCCTCTTTAAATGTTATAAAACAAAAACCTCGTCTTTTATTTGTTTTATTCTCCATCGGCAGCTCAATGGATTCCACCTGTGGAAAGTATAGAAATGTAAATCATGTGGTGTTTGGAACATGACCTTTACTTAATATCCTAATGATTTTTGGCATAAAAGAAAAATCAATAATTTTGGCTCATACAATGTATTTTTGGCTATTGCTACAAATATACCCCAGCGACTTAAGACTGCTTTTGTGCTCCAGGGTCACATATTACAAACGTCTATCAATTGTCCACTACCTCTCCGCAGGCGTCAAAGTACTCTCTGATCTTCTCCTCTGGAGTATCTGGGGAAAGACCTCCTACAAATATCTTCTTCACCGGCTCTTTGGACTTCATGGCCTTCGCTTTCTTAGGGTCGATCGCTTTTCCATTCAGTTTGTGCTCCTTCTGTGAGATCACCTTTGACCAGGAGCAGACACGCATCGAGGCTGGAGTTAATCAAGCTCTCCTCAGCATAACAGAAGCAGAACTCAAATGGCATGCTGGTTTCAAAATACCTTTTCCACACTCTCAGCATCTTTAAACAGAACAAACCCAAAGCCCCTGGACCGGCCCGTCAGAGGATCCAGTTTCAAGGTGCAGTCCACCACCTCTCCAAATTTACTGAAGTAATCTTTCAGGTCTTTCTTTGTTGTGTCCCAGCTCAAGCCTCCGACGAACATTTTCCTGAAAACAAAAAGACTGATGTGAAAACAGATTGTGGGGGAAGACAGAGTGATTTATCTCGGCTGAAATCCTTTATATGTACTTCCCAAAAGACGAGCGATTACAGTCATTTTTAAAACAAATCCCAAGCCGTCAACATGAAACATTAGCACATTACCCGCCCACTAGTTGGTCTTTTCGCGTTGGTCTAAATGAAAATCCACTAGGTGCAGCTTTTGGAGCGGTAATAATAGCGGTTTCCCCGATAACGGCTGTACACAAAGCAGCACTGCGCTCACAAACGCTGCTTTATCAGGCATCACAGGCAAGATTAAATTAAACCGGGACCAATCACCGCAGACTAGCATCACGCAAAGGAGGGGTTTGAGCATTGAGCGAATCGTTTGGGAGTCGTTGAGCAAGTAAGGTAAAAATAAATGCATATTATAAGACAATGAAAGTGTTTTTTGACCTTGCATGCATGTCAGCCTGTTGTTGGGAACTCCCAAAACCAAAATATGAACCTTTCATAACCCATAATAGGGGCACTTTAAACCTTTATAAGACCAATTAAAGGAATAAATTAAAGGGAATATGTCAATGTGTTCTCTCAAATCACGCAAAGGAGGGGTTTGGAAAAATGAATCGTTGAGCGAATCGTTTGGGAGTCGTTGAGCAAGTAAGGTAAAAATAAATGCATATTATAAGACAATGAAAGTGTTTTTTGACCTTGCATGCATGTCAGCCTGTTGTTGGGAACTCCCAAAACCAAAATATGAACCTTTCATAACCCATAATAGGGGCACTTTAAACCTTTATAAGACCAATTAAAGGAATAAATTAAAGGGAATATGTCAATGTGTTCTCTCAATGTAAAAGGAGAACACAATGAGACGTATTAGCAGCATAATTTACAACCAATCTCCATTCATTTGTAATTATACAAAAAATAATACAAAAGCCTGACCACTAGAATATGGAAATATATTTTACTGTCCTTCTCAGTATTATTGTCTTGTTTTTCAATGCTAATGTCTAAAAATTCTTAAAACAAGATGAAAAAAAAGTTTTCTGGGTAATTAACAAAATGAAGTGAATTTATGATTTACAAAGAGGACAAATACCTTCTTGTAGGCTCGGAGAACAGTTTTTATGCCCCACTGACAAATGTCTGTTCTTGTTTTAAACATAAACCCCCAAAAAACACATATATCGCAAGTTTGCATTTCAAGTAAATGTATCTTGATTTAACAATGTTTAGGAGTTTGTATTGGAAAACAAGACCAAAATACTGTTCATTCTTGCAGTGCATGGAACATTTAATGCCATGACTTTATGATTTGAAGTATTTTTGCTCCAATTTAAGACATCAGGCCTTCATTTGTCGAAGGGAAAATTAAGACTTTTGAGACCTTCCTAGATTAGAAAGATTCAAGACTCACTTTCATTTGAAAGGTTCACACTTTACACGTTTAGTCATTAATTTAACATAAAACCACACAACAACACACCCTGAACAAACAACACCATTAACTATTAAATCCACCGAGATATCATCGTCGGAAAAAGACGCTGTTGACCAAGACAAGCTAGCATTTGAAAGGCAAACGTGTTTGGAAACAGCTCGGCCTCATGAATATTCACAATGTCTTCCGTACTCCGACTGATACATTCACGTTATTTACAGTCCGTCCCTTAAATATGTGCTCCATAATGATAAACAGATACCGATTCACAGAAAACGAGCAGATTTTTTTTACTTGTTTGAGCGAAACTCGTTACCCGGAGTCGAATAGCTTGGGGTAATCGCTCAGTGTCAGGAAACCAGGTCTAAATTCAGGCTGATCTTGTCTATCTGCGTTAGAGGGGCCGAGACTCACCCCTCGTCCTCCTCGTTTTTACTGGCGTCTATCTTGGAGCCCTCCGCCTCCCTCTCAGCGGCCGGGATCTCCTCCTCTCCATCAGTCTCCTCCATCTTCACCAGCGCCTCCTCGCCCACAATCTGCTCCTCCGACATCTTTGATCAATTCTCGGCGAAAATAGGGGCTGTTCGCGTCGTCTTTCCTGAGGAAAGCGTCGTAGGTTAAAACTCGACCGGACTGGCGGTAAACAGTGCGGAATTAGGCTCGGGATCGCGTCTGTTTCGGTCTGCTTTCAGAATGTCGATGGCAACGGCGTCCATTCACAAAATGGCGGCGCAGCGGAAGCAGAGCGTCATGACGTTACTGCGCCTTTAAAAACCCACGACGCCACGCTGACGCTCACCACAGCGCGAGTAAATACGTTTACATCCAAGAGCAGGTTAGGCATTACACACTACAAGAAAAAGGTACTCAAAGAAAATGAAATAAACACAGAACAACAAATTCTTTTTCCCCCAATTTTTAATCCCTTTATCCAAAAACCTTCAGGAAAAGAACTAAAATACAAAATAAAGGACATTTTTGTTTTCTATTGAAGACTTAAGAACACATCAGCACAAAACCTACAGGTTCAATCTGAACAAAGCACGGAATAAGACAAACTTGGAAACAAAACGCCTCGCTATTTACAAGGTTTAGACACTGAATAACGTTTTTTAGTAGTTGTTTAAGGACAGGAATCCACAAGCTGCCTCCGAGGAGCAATGTCGAAGTCAGCCTGCCGACCTACAAGAGAAGATACGCAAGATGAACCCATCGATTTGGACATGTTTAAAAAAAAAAACAATAACAGCACGTCCATGTTTCAGTGTTTAACTTCTTGAGCTGTCGATTTTAAACTAGGAAAACCATCATTAAAGATTAAAGATCATATGTTCGACGTCTTAGATTGACAAAACAGCTGGTAAGCCAGCAAAAGCTTCAGACCAATCTAGGAGCGAGCCAAACGTCTTCCCCTTTAAACTGAAGATTGCAATTTGCTTTTAGCCAATAGGAGAGTTGGTTTCATCAGTCTAACACAGATTTGTCAGCTTTCAATGGCTTGGTAAACCCACTTCACATATGATCTTTAAAGGCTACGCTTTAGGAAAAGCCTTGAGGTGAACCCATTTGAAGTTCTCTATGGCCTCTAAAGAAAAAGCAAGCATTATGAGAGAGTTTATGCAATTATTTATACAAGGGAGGTGTGACTGAAACCAAAGAAATAAAAATAGTAAATCACTGACGCCCCAAAACTGAAGAGCACTACAATTGAAAAAGAGAATACAACAGCAAAGCGGTTATGAATCACTTTTAGGTTACGTTAACAAAGTCCTGGAAAAAACACATGTGGAACTGTTAACGAAAACCAACAACTTAAGGAAAAAGGGGGAATCTCCTTTTGTCTTTTTGTTTGTTTTACGCTGGTACAGGAAGTTTGAAGAGACCATACCACAGGACAGCGCTTTCTCGTGCATGCCGTGCTCTCTGCCCGCTATGTGCGACGCCCAGAGAATGTCGCGGTCAGGTGACACACGGCCTGCAATGAAGTCCCCGCTGGCAGGTACAAACAAGGTACAATAATCAGAATTAGGGAAAGAAAGGAGAAATCAGGAGAGGCGCCCTTACTCTGTACCCCTTAGCTGTACTTTACCTGTTAGCATTGCTATCAAGTCTCTAAGTTATTCCATTACGATCACCTGTTAAAGCAGGAGGAGGAAAAGGAAAACGCTTACGTTTTTCTGGCACGCTAAAAAGGCAAAATGGCTACACAAACGAGAGTGATTAAAGATCTATAGACATGTGTTCAACTCTGGTGCTTTGATATGCGTAGTCATATAGTGTCTATTGACCTTTAACATTGAGCTCGGGTCCAGAACGCAGCAAAGATGTGACCTTACCATGAACATGAACGTGTTTAGCCACTTTGTCAATACGGCTGGTAGCTGTTCTGATGGGTTCCGCTTTCCCGTGAGGCCTTGCCATAACTGCTCTGTTGACCTTCAAAAATTACAAATATATATGTATATATAATAATAGTTTATGCATTTAGCAGACGCTTAAAAGCGACTTACAGTGCATTCAGGCTGTACATTTTTTTACCAGTATTTATTAGAAGTACAAAACGAGGATTTGTAAAGAAGAATGTCAGAGGATTTCGATATATATATATATATATATATATATATATAGTGATAAGAGACCGGCGTAGCAGCATTACAACGTTGGTATATAAAGCAACCAATGCCTAAATGTCACTAAATGTGGATAAAAACTACACATAAAAGTTTGGTTGGGAACAGATTTATGTACTTACAAAGCACTAAAACACTTCTGTAAATTGTCTAGTTGTCTTTTCAATGTTTTCAAAGCAGTTTCATCATTTTCAGTGAGATATATATACATATATATAAATAATTAAGTGGTTTTAAAATGAATACACTATCTTTAAAACACAGTTTATTAAAGTATTTCAAATAACATTTTCTATAACTGTATCCTTACTGGTTGAAATAAATTATTCTTCCAAATACATTTGTGCGCTTAACTGTACTGTGACTAACTTGGTATCAAAAAAAAAAAAGAATAGTGGGGCAATTCTGCAACCAAATTATGCCCCGATGTAAATTTTGCCTAAACTGAATGGATTTTTATAACTAATGGCTTCCTAAAGGGTGGAAAAAAACGATACATCATGAATATCAAGGCTTGGGTCTCTGAAGGTTAAATGTTCAATAAGAAACTGTGTAAAATTACCACTGTAATCATCATAGCCTTGTCCATAGCCATAATTCGGATAGTTGTATCCCGAATAGTCATAGCCAGAATAGCCGTTATAGCCCTGGTTGTATCCGTCGCCGTAGCCTCCATAGTTCTGGCCGTAGTAGCTGTTGTATCCTTGATTATAGCCCTGGCCCTGTCCTGTTCACAGAGAGTCAGAGGAGCACTTTCAGTCCAGAACCACTGGAATAAAGACAGCAGCAATCTCTAGATTTGCAAACCTCTTCCACGGCCCCTGAAGCCGCCTCCTCGTCCTCCTCCAAATCCCCGGTCCGCTCTGCCCTGCTGCTGTCTGTAAACTTCTTTAGGCTGGGCAACTTTGACTTCACACTGGCAACAAAGATTAACAGCATTAGGCCCCGATCACACCGAACGCGTTTTTTAGGTCTGAATGGCACTGCCATTTTTTGGTGACTTTTAAAAAAAGAGCAGTGCGCTGTTTTTTTATGTTGCTAGGCAACCACCAAATCAGCTGTCCTGTCAGTCTAATCAAAGGATTATAGCGCGAGCGCTCTAAAATCTTTGGTTTTTGCTGTTAAGTAAACGGTCATATTAGCAGAAACCTTAAAAAATACAGCGCTGGGTAACCCGCGACAGACACCAAAAGTTTCTCCTCCATCATTGCAGACTCTGGACTTTCTAAGCAACGGTAAGCTTTCGTCATCACAATGGTAGGCCCGCCTCTCCGTTCATTCGATTGGACAATGGAAAAAACCACGAATGACGTCGGGCGCTTTTCTGCTCAGAGTTGCTTTTTTTTTTTAATTTCAGGTGCTCAGAGCGCTCCTGCAAAAACACGAGGCGCACAGGGCGCATAAACACGCTCACTGCCAACCGAAAACACTTAAAAGGCACCTCTCACTGCAAAAAACACGTTCTGTGTGATTGGGGCCTAATGGTGTGTTCACACCAGACGCGAATTTAATTATTCACGCGGGTAGATTACATACAAAGTCAACGCAAAGACGCGAATAGAGGCGAATTCGCGCCGAGTGCCGCAAATAATGCGAAATGCGTGACGCATTTGGCTTTCCATTGTATTTGGGACTTTTTGACAACAGGTACAAAACAGCGATTGTAGTCATCTCCACCATGCTTGATCGCGCTGTTTTTATTCGCGCGAGTGACACGAAAAACATCCCGCGAGTAATCTAGAGCGAGTGACGCGATGCGCATATTCGCTTTGCGTCTGGTGTGAACACACCATTACTCACATGTAGGCTTGGGCAAAGTATTGTTATAAACCGGAGAGTTCCGGTGCTTGATTCTGATTGGCTGAGCTGCGTTCGAAGCTGTTGTAAATTACTCTACAAACACACACCTTTGTTTACTTGTGTGTTGCTCGGCAACCACTTTGTTGCAACCACAACTGTTTCTGAGGAACTACATTGTTTGGTGGAAGAATACTGTTTTTATTAATATCATTACACTTTATTTGCTCTGTTTTATTTTGTGAAACCTTACTACATATATGGAATAACTGTTTTATAAAAGCAATAAGCCCCGTGAAGCCGTGGTTTACAGTAAATTTATAACAGCTAAGGGGGTTTTAGGCACTAACTACGCACCTTAGCTGTTATAAATTCACTGTAAACCACGGCTTCACGGGGCTTATTGCTTTAATTTACTTACACATGCCTACTATGATCCGTTTTATTAATACAGATCTAGGTACGCGTGTCTGTCAAATATAATATCATGATAATATCAACATACCTTGCCTGAACCAAGTTGATGGTATCGGTTCTCCAGCAGCTGATGAACGGGATCCTCTGAAACGTACGTCACGAAGCAGAATCCCCGCCTTTCGTTTGTTTTGGTGTCCATGGGCAGCTCAATGCTTTCAATCTTTTGAGAGAAAAATACACCGCTTGTGGTGCTACTTCCAAAAAAATGTGATTTTAGATTATAAAGTGCTTCATTGAAGTTACTCACGTCCCCATAAGCTCCAAAGTACTCCCGGATCTGCTCCTCAGACGTGTCTGGACTCAGACCGCCGACGAACACCTTCTTGGGCGGCTCCTTGCCCTTCATGGCTTTGGCTCTCTTGGGATCGATCAGTTTCCCATCCAGCTTGTGCTCCTTCAGCTCTAGCACCTAAACACATCAAGAGCCTGCTACGATCGCTGCCCAAACGATGTTATTACGAGACACGAGGACTGGCGGGGAACACTTACCCTATCGACGCTCTCAGCGTCTCTGAAGAGCACGAAGCCGAAGCCCCTGGAGCGGCCCGTCATGGGGTCTGTTTTGATGGTGCAGTCAAGGACCTCTCCAAACTTGGACAGGTAGTCAGTAAGGTCTTTCTTGCTGGTGTCCCAACTGAGTCCACCGATGAACATTTTCCTGCACGACAGCAAACAGCACTCAAATCACAAATCCATCCATTAACATGAAACTGCTGATAATGATATAATACACACATTCACTGGTCATGCATATACAGAATATAACCTAACTATTACCTCATTGGTGTGAGAGTGTGTGTATATATGTGTATAGATAGATAAGACAAGATGATAGATAAATGTTCTGTACATACATATCACGTAATGTTACGATATAGATAGATAGATGGATAGAGAGATAGATAGATAGATAAATAGATGGATAGAGAGATAGGGAGATGAATGTTCGAATAGATGGATGGATGGACAGATAGATGCGCAAATTAAACTTCAAGCCATTAGACGCGGGTAGGTCTCGAGCATCTTGAGCTCGATGTTGTTTAATATAGCGCATATTAATAATATAGGCGTTCGGAACGACGCACTGCGAATGAAGTGTGAGAACATTGTCCAGCGAGGTGAACGCGGCGGTAACGCTCCACTCGCGGCGCGGCGCGAAGGCCTCGCTCCGGACTCACCCGTCGTCCTGCAGGTTTTTACTGGCGTTTATTTTGGAGCCCTCTGGAAACTCGTCGCTGCTGAAGTCACCTTGCTCTTCGGCCTGCATTCTGGAATATATGTAGTTTGATCGTACTATGTAACTGATTATATTACGGTGTTTTTAGCAGGTCAAAGACTCCAAGACGAATACAGTGCCGCGTTGATTAAGATGGCGGACGGAGATCAGTGACGAGAGCCGCAGCAGGAGGAAGCGAGTGGGCGGAGCTTCTTCTGCTTCTTCTTCTTTTGGTTTTATGGCGGGTTGCGAACCAACTTCATAGGTGCATACCGCCACCTACTGTGATGGAGAGTGAAGAGAATGTACACTGTAAAAAATGACCGTGAATTTAACGGTAAAAGACTGTAAAAATGCTACAGTAAAAACCTGTTAAATGGTTAACGGTAAATTCCCCTACTATATACGGTGAAAAACTGTATTGGACATTACATGTATTGGACATTAATTTTATGGTAGTATACCGTTTTTGGAAGTGAAAAAAGACCGTAAGTGAATTGACATTCCCAGAATTCCCTGCGTTACATTTCAAATTTGATGTTTTTTTGTTGAAATAACTGTTTCTTCTTAGTTTTTTCTTATCAGTTTTGTATATTAGGGTTGTGTGTTACACCTAATGTTGTTAAATGAATGTTTATTGCATTATTTCAGTTTCATGTGTGTTACCATGTTGATGTTTAGTGTTTGTGTGAATGACACTGTACACCTTCTATATTTGTTATTATTTAAAAGCTGCTTGTGATGGGCTTTGGTTCATCATGTGACTTTCTCATCACCACCTGCATTTGGTGGTTATCAGTGTATTACAAAGGTACAAAACAGATTTCAGTACTTCAATAGGTTGGTATATTAACATTATATCAGTTAATGAAATTACGGTATTTAAGTGTAAATTTAAGTTAAGACTGTAAAACCTAAAACGTTGCTACCATATTTTTTACGGTAAAATTCTGGCAACCACAGCTGCCGGCTTTTTACCGTAAATTTTACAGAATTTTTTTTACAGTGTACAATTTCTCACCTAAATCTTATATTCTGTTCATTATTCCACAATTCTTAATAAATCGCATGATTGCACTTATTTGTTCTCCTGTATTTGGACCATCATTCAGAATACTACTTAATGAAAATCATTTAATTCCTAAGGATTGTAATTCATCTTTAAGTGGATCCCTTTCTCTTTCATATGCTGTACATATCATCATAACGTGTTCCACTGATTCCTCTGTTACACAAACATTACATAGACCAGTATTATGCTTCCCTAATGTATAGTGCTTGGTTAAGATTTGAATGTCCTGTTCGTATGTGTTAAAATGACTTGTTCCCTTCTACTTATGTTATGAATGATTTTTCTTCTCTTTATACTCCTTTGTATTTTGTGATAATGCCTACTTGTTTGACATGAGTATGTCTGCCATACAATATTGCATGCATTTAATATTAACTGTTTCCCTTCTGTTCTGCTGAGTGCAATATTTATACTTGGATCATCCATATTTAAGGATTCTTTAGCCATTTCATCTACCTCTTCATTACCTTGAATTCCCTCATGTGCAGGTACCCATATAAACCGAGTAATTATCCCTATCTGTTTAATACTGTATAGTGTAATCATGATTTCTGATTAAATGTCTTTTCTATTTGATTGTGGGCGGGGCTTGTGCTGTAGATATTATAATATAGATTTAAATATTTTACAAATACACTTTGAAATGTTAACTCTACAGATTTTTCTTAAATAAATACATTCATATAAAATAAAATAACAATATAAATAAGAGACTTCTAACCATAATGTTCTTTTTGCAATGACCCAGTTTATCCTTATTAATATTTGCATTCTATTAAATAATTCCAATTAATGGCGCCATTGAATAGTTCACCCAAAATATGAAATTATTTCTAGCATCATTTACAGGGCTGTTTCTAGTAGGGGAAATCATCAGTATTACTTAGAAGAAGAAGAAGAAGAAATCATTCATTACGAGAACAACGAAGCTTGAAAATGTACTTCACTCACATGAAGGTTTGACTCATGTTTAAAAAAATTAATAAACAAATAAATGCTGCAGTCACGTGCAGCTCAATAAAGGGGGCGTTCATATGACACCTGGGCTGTAACCGTAGCAAAACGTTGCGTAAGGGCTTGAGCTTGAACGTGCCCCTGCTGTGCGTGAGGAATCTAATTTATTTATTTATTCAATAAACCCGTTTGAATGTAAGTGTAGGATGTTTTGTCTTAGCCTATGAAGTTTTATTTTAGCGCAATATGTTCAGCAAAATAATGATTGCTATCTATTAAATAAATAAAATATGTTTGTCTTTCAATAAATTTAAATACAATTATTAAGTCGTTCATTTATTCACAGCAAATTTAATTTAAATGCTAGTTATTACGGCAACACTCAGAATTTCTCCTGATTTGTGGTTAGGATTTATTTTGCAATAATCACTCCTAAACGGTTTGCTCTGACCATTAAACATCTCTTTTTGAAATAACAACAACGACGACGACGACAACGACAACGACAACAACAACAACAATAATAAAAATAATATAAATGAAGAAAATATTTTGTATGTCCTTTTGTTCAAGTAAAAGGAGATTTATCGTATTTAATTGTTTATATGAAGAACTGTATTTTCTGCATATAACCAGGTTAAATAGATGAATAAATAGGGATTTCACCATAAAATTAAAAAGTAAAAGTACACGAATGAATGAATTTCATGCAATAGGTAAAAATGATTTTATTTATATGTGCAAGCTTACATTTACTCCTCACTCAACAGCCCCTCCCGGACAGCAGTGTTGCCAGATAAAAACAAAAAAAAGAATAAATAAATAAAATGCCAAAAGGGCTATATACGGCTACACTACGGTGTACATTTTAGGACATCCTCAGACCTCAGTCATTAAATGAAAAGGCGTCATGCCTCAGACTAAAAGGCTTCAGTCATTGGACAAAACGGCATCGCGCCTCAGACTGAAAAGCTTCAGGTCTCAGGAAAAACGACGTCAGGTGTCAGGTCTCATACAATTAGGCATCAGACGAAACGGACTCAGACAAACAGGCATCAGACGAAACGGACTCAGACAAACAGGCATCAGACGAAACGGACTCAGACAAACAGGCATCAGACGAAACGGACTCAGACAAACAGGCATCAGACGAAACGGACTCAGACAAACAGGCATCAGACGAAACGGACTCAGACAAACAAGCATCAGACGAAAAGGACTCAGACAAAAACGCATCAGACGAAACGGACTCAGACAAA